AAGGTTAGTACACTTCATGTTCAGTGTTCATTTTCTAGTTTAATTTATATTGTAACACTTCATGTTTCAGGGTTGGACACTTCATGTTTCAGTGTTCATGCTTGGAATTATAATTTATGTTCTATTTTCTACTTGTAGGGACTTATTGCAGGTATCAAATAACTCACACCACATGCTGAGCACAGAAATTGTGCTAGACATATGTATATGAATTGGAAAAAGTAGCACCCAGGGAAAGTATTGAAGGACCTATATTTGAGGATAGTGCATAACACATACCAGGTAGCCTACAAGGAAGCTGTTGATGAGTTGAATGCGGTTGATCCAAATGCATGTAAGGATTTTCTTGTCAAATAAACCTTTAGATTTTGTAAGGCTTTTATTTCAGAGTTACCCAAGTGTGATATGACATTGAACAATATGTATGAGACATTTAATAGTATCATTGTAGCTGCTAGGAAAAAACCAATTGTGGAGATGCTTGAAGTCATTAGAACCTATGTTATGGAAAGACACCATGAGAAACTTATGTTGGGTAGTGATGTGAGTGATGTCTTTGTCCTAGGATTAGGAAAAAGGTTAATGTGGCTAAGTACAAAAGTAGGTTGTGTCATACTAAGCCTGTTGTGGGTGACAAATTTCAAGTGGCAATTTCAGAATATCAGTTTGTAGTTGACTTGAGGGAGATGAGTTACACCTGTAGAGAGTGGGACATCTCTGGAATTCCTTGTGTCCATGCATGCTCTGCAATTCTTTATCAGAAAAAAGATGTGGCAGCCTTTGTGCATCCTTACTTCAGCCTTGAGAGGTATTTAAAGGCCTATTCTTTTTCACTTGAACCTTTGAATGGAAAAAAAAAAAAAATATATGGCCTGAGACAACTGGGGCAAAAGTAATGCCACCTCTATTTAAAAGAATGCCTCTGAGACCTAAAATGGCAAGAAAAAAAGCTCCTCCATTTTCAACCTTCGTCTTTCGTACATTGGTTGACTATATTCTTCTTTCATGTTGTTATGGTGACCTAATTTAGTAACTCCATACCTATGTGCTCATTTACTTATAACTTGTCCAAAAAAAATTTTAACTTAAGGTCATCATCTGTGTCTGGTTATTTTGACACTGTCTACACACAGAAGAAGATAGTTGTTATATAAGAAAGATTCTATGCATTGTAGAGACTCACCAACATCTAAGTTTGCCCATTGTTAGGTGGAAGCACTACAAGAAAATAGAGTTCTAGTGAAGAATATTTTGCCACTATGTTGTCACTATATCTACCGTTGTTGTCACTATATCTACAACAATTGTAGATATAGTGACAATAATTGTAGATATAGTGACAACAATTGTAGATATAGTGACAAAACAATTCTTCACTAGAACTCTATTTTTTTTGTATTGAAGATTAGTACGAGTGAATCATTCTTTCCCTCTACTTTCTGCTACTGCTCCAATATCTGAGGTAACTCTCCTTACTTGGTTCCAGTTTGCTTTATTTTTTCCCCTGAAAGTTGCTTCAATTATGAACATGATAATGCTCACATGATGCTATCTTTCATTCATCCCAATGCGTATATTGTATGGTCTTCCTCTTCCATCATTCTTTAATTGTGTGGCATGTTTGTTTAATTGTGTGGCCATGATCCTGATATTCCTACTTTTATTCTCTCATTACATAGTGTAAACAACTTGTCAATCTGGTTTATTCATCTACATTTATAGATGGATTCAGTTGGAGAAGAATTAGCGGTTGTTGCTATATTGGAAGAGGTCATGTCTAGTGTTCAACTTTTTTTGCTGCTAGCTATCTATTACTATAACACATTCATCCTCCTTCAGCGAAAACGTCAACGTTCGGGCAGTAACCACGTCCCTTTATTTCGAGTTAGTGATAGACTGCCCTATCAAGTCAACTACATGCGAAGGTTGATTGACATGAGTGATACAACTTGCCTCGAGAACCTCCGCATGGATCGTAACACATTCGGTCATCTGTGTCACCTTCTTGAGAGTTCTGAGGGGCTTAGGCAATCTAGAAATGTCCCACCAACTGAACAAGTGGCTATTTTCCTGTCAATCCTAGCTTACCATAAGAAGAATGTCATTTTAAAGCTTGATTTTGTTAGATCTGGTCGAACCATAAGCAAATACTTTAACTGAGTTCTTGACGCTGTCATCTGAATTCACTCAATCCTAACTGTGCAACCAAAGGCAGTTAAGGCAGGTTATGTTGACAAAAGGTGGAAATGGTTCAAGGTAATCTACAACACATTTTTCAACGTCGTACCAATTTGTTAGTTCAACCCTGTCCACCTAATACGTTTTGGGTGTTTCATTGTCCATAGGGATGTACGTTTTGGGTGTTTCATTGTCCATAGGGATGTTTAGGATGGAACCTACATTGATGTGCGAGTCCTTGGTACTGACAAGGCACGATATAGAAAATGTAAGGGTAATATATCTGTTAATGTACTTGGGGTTTGTGATAGAAACATAAACTTCGTGTACATGCTATGTGGATGGGAGGGGTCAGCGGCAGATAGTCGAGTCTTGCATGATGCGGTTATTATGACGCATGGTCTACATGTTCCCAATGGTACTAGACTCATTCTATTGCCTAAACACCATCCATTCTTCTTGTTAAAATAAACAAAACACAAGGTTTTCATTATTTACACTAAATGAAATTGTCAAACATGAAACTATTATTTGGTGGACGGTGGGTATACGAATGGTCCCAATTTTTCAGCACCATATAGGGGTGTCATATACCACCTACAGAAGTGGGGCACAGGTTCACTCAGACCACAAAACTTTAAAGAATTGTACAATCTTCGTCATGCTAAGTCTAGAAATGTGATTGAACGTTCGTTTGGTATTTTGAAGATGCGATGGGAAATTCGTAGGAGTTGCTCATATTATTCCATTCGAACCCAGAATCGCATTATCATGGCATGTGCGCTCCTTCACAATTTCATGCGAACATCGATGGCCTATGATCCCGTTAAATCATTAGTTCCTGAGATTCCTGATGGTGGGTTGCCTACAGCTACGGGTGAAGATGATTTGATAGACCAGGTGGAGGCTAGCCCATAATGGACACAGTTCCTTGACCAATTGACACAGGATATGTTTAATGATTGGGAGGGTAATGTGCTTTAGTTTAAGAAAGTTTGTTTTAGTGTACGGTGACCAAAGACCTGTCTAATTTTTTAAAACCACTACATGTGTCACAAATTTTTTATTCATGTTTGTTTTGTTTTGGTTATTTGTTGTCGAATTTTGTTGAGAAATTCATTATCCATTATTATTAGATTTACCAGATATATATTTTGGGATAATTGATTGCTGAGAATTTGATTATTAATATACGATAGCGTTCATGGTTTTTATTCAACTATCAGATAGCGTTCATGGTTTTTATTGAATTTTGTTGAGAATTGATTATTCATATACGATAGCGTTCATGGTTTTTATCATATATTGATTGTCACCATGGATTTACCATATATTGATTGTGACCATGGTTTTAATCTTAAGAATCCAAAATAAATCCTTTGGTGCGAAACGATTGGTAGAATATGTACCACCATGGACTATTCATGTAGCCAGAAAACGGGGCAAGCGTCCTCCCCACAAATAGCAAGACAACATACTTGGAGTCCGGCTGAGGAGGCTGCCCTAGTAGACATTATGAAAGATATGGTTTTAGAGGGGTAGAGAACTGATAATGGCTTCAGGCAGGGTTACAATTTTTGAAATTGCAAGAAGATTGAAGTTGAAGTTTTCAAACTGTACCCTTCGTGCAGTCCCGCACATCAGCTCAATGATACATGTGAGGAGGAAAAAACTATGTGAGTATGTCATTCAACAAGTCTATTCAGGATTCGGCTGGAGCGAGATCACTAAAACTTTTTCCTGCGATGATAAAGTTTGGACAGGATGGTTAAAGGTAAGATAATACTCAAAATAAAAAAAAAATAAAAATAAAAAAAAAAACCAAACCATCCCCCTAAACATTTTCGCCCATTCGTCTTTTTGAAATAATGTAGGTAGATCTAAATGCAAAATCACTGAGGAACAAGTCTTTCTCATACATCAACGACTGGGCGGAAATTTTTGGGAAAGATAGAGCAACAAGTGAAAATGCACAAGCCTTCGAGGATGCAGCAAATGATGTCCCAGCGCAGGACAACCCGGGGTCGGATAATGATGACGTCGCATCAAATCATAACATCAGAGATGGATCCCCAGGCCTTGTCATGGGTAACCCAGTCATGGGTAACACATCTGGTACGACGTCTGAGTCCGGTACGAGGATTGGAAAGAGAAAGAAAATTACCAAAAGGATTGCAGAGAGCCAGTGGGAAGGACTATTTCTGGATATCATGGAATCATTTTCTCAAAAAACAACAGAAAGCTTGAATGGCATTGCAAGTAGGCTTGGGTTTGAGCACGACGTGGAGAAGAAAAGAAGTGCAGTGTTTGACTCATTGTCTAACATGCATTTCTTGTCAAATGAAGATAAAATGGCCATGCGTTTATAAGAACCCACAAGAACTCTCCATGTTCTTCTACCTGTCCCAGGACAACAAATGTCTCATGGTTAAAATGATGCACGAAGGACGATTGTAGGCTACTTGTAATGGCCTTGATTTGTCTTGATAAGAGTTACTAGTTCATGTGGGGTTTGTGATATGGCTTTTGAAGACTTACTATCTGTCTAATGTGTTTGTTTTGATGTGGGATTTAAAGATTAGTAGTTGATGTGGTTGTTTTATTTTCCTGGTTAAGATATTAATTATGTTGTTTCTTTTGATGTATAACTAATAAATTTTACATATGTAAAACTTTGTAGTATTGTCCTGTGAATTTTGTTCTCGGTTTTGATGTGTTGCTTATTCGTATTTTTTTGTATCATTGCAAATGAAAGGTGTTGAGGTTGTTTATGCGATTCTCCTTTATTATGTTTTTTGAAATCTTGTGACCACAGATATAGGATGGACAACATGGATGTTGATGCTAATGATCCTAATTTTTTCAAGGTTGTTTTCTTTCACACTCTCCATACGATGGTAAGTTTGTTTCTTTTACTTTTGCATTGTTATTTCATTAAATTGAACACTTTTGTATGAAATTGTCTTTTCCAAAACGTATGCCTCCAGGCATTGCCCCCGGCCACACACCACCATTATCGTGGTGTCGTGCTTCCACAGAGGTTCAGTATTGAGACCATTGAGGGCCGTAAGTACGAGACGACATTAACTATAGTGAACAACTGCCCAACATTAGTGGATAGGTGGAGAGATTTCATTCTTTCGGAAGACATAACCATAGGCTACTTCCTGGTTTTCCGTCCCAGGATGATATTCAACTTTGAAGTGTGGGTGTTGCAGCCCAACGGATGTGAGAGGCAGCCGCAGTACACCTTCACTCTGGAAATGAAACCAACTCATGTGGAGCGCGCACGTTTGGTATGTTGTTCCATTTAATAGTAATTGACGGGAATTGCATATTTTATATCCTCACTTGTAATGTTCAATTGCATATTGTATAACATATATTTTTATTGTGCATTTCATTTTATGCAATCCGCAGTTTTGGAGGGGTTTCATTCAAGGCAGTACGTGAATTACTACTCCGCGGTTTTGCAGTTTGGCGCCAACATGTATGATGTCGATATAATTCACAGTCACGGGAAAAAACAGAATGGTCGTGCACGATAGTTCATCGATAACAACAACATTGGTGTAGGTGATGTTTGCACGTTTATTCTCCTCCCACATAATGAAGTCATAAAATTCAAAGTTAAAATTTAGTGGATTTGTGTAATTTGAAGTAGAGCGTATGGCATTTTGGGTTGATGTTGCTAACTTATCGGGTATGATGTTATGAACTTGGTGAAGGATGTCGCAAACTTTGTTTTGTTGGATTTCTTTAGCGTTTCGGATCATGTTTGATATAGCCATATTGTGGCATAGCGGTTCAAACCTAAATACCCAATCGAACGACAAGCATGTTAGTCGACCCACCCTAATCGACATCATCGAGCCGACTGTCGTAAAGTCGATTCTCCCCTCGAGTTTCCTGAGAACTGTCTTCAGCTTGATAGGTTCCAGGTGCTTCTCTCAGTCGACCTCTAGAAGTCGACCTCCAGAAGTCGACTTCCCTCAGAAAAATGGACAAGCACAACATGATCTATAGATGTTCAAGAATGACTTGAGTCGACTCGACAGTACCCGAAGTTGACTCATAATGCCTCGAGGCACTGAGACCTCCGATGACTCATGTATACTTCAACATGCCCTAATAGAGCTGCCAAGGATAAGAAGGAATCTAGATGCTGACTATGAGGTGGAGGGAATACGAACCGCCCAGGGTATTTTGGACATTTCACATAAGTCGGTCAGGGCATTTTGGGGACTTCAGGTAAATGTTCTGCTTCTATTTAAAGAAGCTGAGGTAACTCCTAAACCCTAACTCCTATTCATTCCATATTCTCCTCCACAACTGCTGCTCTCTCAGAGCAGTCTCTCTTCATCTCTCTCATATACTGACTTGAGCGGCGGAGGCTCTACGCCGGAAACACCTCCAGCGTTGAGTTTTTGTAGGTATTCTCGCGGTCCATCAACGGTTCGAAGACGATTTAGGCAGATCTGGGCTCGTTTCCATCGGTTCGCTCTAGATATGAGAGCAGACCCATCAATGTTGGACACTGGGATTTGGTTATGCACTTTTGGTATTTCGGGTATGATGTTATGAACTTATGTGAAGGATGTTGCAAACTTTGTTTTGTTGGATTTCTTTAACTTTTCGGATCATGTTGGACACTAGGATTTGGTTATGCACTTTTGGTATTTTGGTTTCAAATAGGTTGTGTTTATGTTTATGTTCATCTGTATTCATTTTAAATGCATGTTGTTTTACATTACACATTTGATGCCAACAAATATAGAAGTTGGATGGCTACAATTTACAACTACGTGAACCAATACATAATACATTAACCTACGATGCAAAAGTGGAATTCACCATGGTACACACGAAATATAGATAATGAATTCATATGCTTCATAATCATAAGTTACTGACTCAATAACAATGCATAACAAAAGTGATTATCGAACAACGAAACAGTGACAACACAACGTACTACGCAACTTAGGAGGTGGTTAACACTTGAACATCTAACTATGACAACATTGACTAACATAAAAAGGGAGACGAATACGACAGAATAAAAAAAAAAAATATTCATTCAAGAAACGATTGCGTTACATAATGATGTTCCAAAATAAAGGACAGTAAAAGTAGATGAAGACGCAGAAGAGTACAATAGAAATAAACAAACACGTACATAAGACCAATTGGATAATTGGATACATGGTTATGGTTATTTCATGATAAACATCCACACCATTGAGATTACAAGTAAAAACAATAAAAACCTATTCTTCTTCTTCAATTGTGTAATTTCTTTTTCAAGTTTCTTCAGCTTTTTCATGTGCATCTCCTTCTCTTGAAGTTCAGTTGCAGATTCAACATTTTGGCGATTTGTTTCAGCTTCTAAACGGTTTTATGTTACGCAACAATCTAGGGATTATTTCTTTTGATCTTGCACACATCGGTGGGTTAAACCAATTCCAAAAGCGACAACCATTTTCGCCACAATCCAAGTACCTCCTTCCTGGGTTGGCAGGGGTCCACGCAGTTTGTAGACGAGCAACTGTACCGCAGAAACAGAAAACATCGGGTTCTCTTCTTGATGAACTTGAAGAACTCATTTATTTTTGTCCTGGAAAAACAAAAAAACACAAGCCTTATAATCTGAATGTAAACTTCTGTAAAATATCATTTATGTCATAATAAACACAACAATACGGCTTACCAAATAGAACAACAATCAGGCCAAAAAAGCACACCATTTGCATCTCTCTTTTTTCTCACAATTAGGCACTCAAAACTACTTATAAACTGTGAGTAAAGTCTGTGCAGAATAGTCATTTCCATGGTCTACAACATGAATAAGGATAAGTAGACAAACAAACAAAGACGCAAAGCCTTTATACAATCTGCAACACATGCCTTACAAACAGAAACTTAGTATGTGCAGATAGTGGATTCAAATAGATTACACACAGGAATAGAGCAGAACGGATACACAACAGACAAGCAAAAACACATACCATATGCATATATTTCTTATCCCTAACACAGGCAATTACTAGACCATATAAAATAACCATATACTTGATAAAATCAAAGTTATTAAGCATGATAATTGAACACGAAAACATAGAAAGAATCAGGTAAACTCAAAGTATCAGGCAAACTCTTATCAGTGAACACACGAACAAGCAAATACCTCTGATTGGTCCATGAAATTCTCAAAATTTATTTGGCTACAACCTCATTACCTCTTAATTTTCCATCGCATAGCAGTGCATTTATATCATGTTCAAATATCATTATCGCCCATTATTAAATTAACGAGCCAAGCACAAGTTTACCTTGTTCAAGTATTAGAAGAAAATGGAAGAGGAACCTCGATTGAAGACTACGATGTCGGTGTATGCGAAACTGCCTTGGGAGCTCTCGGCTGTTGGGAGATGTACATAGAAACAGATACGTACAAGAATTTGTTCAACCTTGTTGCCACAGCCTCAACCACGATAACCTAATCGAAAATGAATCACGTTTTGTAGAAAGGAAAGCAATAAAAATAATCTAAACTTCGAATGATATCGAAGATATAACCCATTTACATGGAAATCAAGTTGTACCTCGTGAAATAATCATGCTTTTCTCCTCCCACGGTTGTTGCAGTGTCGTGTCGTCAAATCAACATGCTTTGGATAGACATAATCACAAGAGTCGCATGTTAGGGTTCTTCAAATTTCTATGGAGCTTCGAATTGGGAAAAAATGAAAACCGGTATATGGTCGATTGAGAGAGAAGGGTAAAATAGTAAAGATGGGTTAAGATCAACTTTTTGCTTTTAAAAGCACAGCAGTTTTATCTGCACTGGTAAACAGAGGATAGGATTGGATGAATATACCATCATGCGTGGTAAACACGGGATACAATCTGACAATCTGACGTGGCATTTTGAACAGATTAAATTGTCTAATCCTAACCTTGCTAGTAAACGAGGCCTTACAATATTATTAGAAACTTATGATTATCAAACAAACTGGTTGTTTAGGACACAGAAATCCATATAATTATTAGCTTAATTTAAGACCAATAATAATGTATTTTTTTTCCTTTCTTATTCTGTCAATTGGCCAGTTGATGATAATAATGAATCACATCATCCATACATTGTACTGTATATTAAACTGGAACATCAACTTCAGATCTTCTAATCATCATTAAAACAAAGCATAAAAAATCAAGGAAATAACATAGAGAAAAAAAAAATAAAAGAAAAAGAAGAAGAAGAAGAAATAAAACTAATTAACAGACCACACACAAAAAAAAAAAAAAA